AAAAATAAAACTTTATAATAATAGTAAATAAAATTAAATTAAAAAACTCATTTTATGAAGTAACAATATTATGTTATTTCAAATAAAATTTTCTTTCTTAAATATACTTTAAAGAAAATATTATCTAATAAAATTAATTTTTTTTAAAAAAACAGGAGATTAAAGAATAATAAATATATGTAGAATTTAGTATTTAAAAGCTTAATTTAATTTTTTAAACAAAACCTTTAAAAGGAAAAATTTTTAAAGTTAAATAACTATAATAATATTATATATTAAGGTATATATTAAATAAATTAAATAACAAATCAAATATATATATATATATATATATAATATTTTAATTAATATTTATTATATAATTTTATAATTATTATCTCAATATTAGATATATTTTATTTTTAAGTGGTAAGATTAATTTTAAAGTGTATTCTTTTCTAATGAGTAGGAAATGAGTTAAACTAACATTAAAGTGCAAATAAAGAATTTATAAAACTAAAAAATCTATAATAAATTAGTACTCAATATGCTTTATTTGGCCAAAAGTCCTTATCGTAATTATTATCCTGTAAATCTATACAAGGTCAATAATATTTAAAATTATATATTATAATTATTTTTTAATTTAGAATTAAAAACTAAATGCTAATATTAGCTTTGATTTTAAAATTATTTAATTATAAAAACTTAATATTTAAATAAAATAAGTTAAATTTATTTTAAATGAAACTTTAATTGAAAACACTTTTAAATATAACTATAATTTTGTGGTTATTTATTTTTATTTAAATAAATTAATAAATTAAATATTTTTTTTTTTTTTTCATAAAAAAAACAAGACTTAAAATAATATCTATAAATCTGATTTAAGCAAGCCTTATTAGATTTATTAATTTTAAAATAATTAAAAAACCTTTAATCGATAAAGTTTAAACAAAAATAATTAGATTAATGAAGATTTTGATCCTAAATAAATAAATGAATTTCAAGTAAAAAAAATCTAAAGTTTTATACATATAATATTATCTATAATAAAGAATGCTTAAAACGATAATTAGAATGAAAATTAAAATAAAATTAATTATCATAAACGTTAAGTAATAATTATTTACTTGCGATTAATTTATTTTATTTTAAATAAAGTAAAAAATCTATAGATTCTAAACAAAATAAAACAATTTAAACTTTCTAAACAAAATAAAATAATAACAATATCATGAATTAAAAATAATAGAATAATAAATAAAAAGCATACAATAATCTTCAATCACTAGTTTGTCTAGTAATTACTCTTCAGAAAATAACATAATATTACCTTCTAAAAAGTAAATAATATTTAAAGACCTTTTGAGTATGAATATACAGTTATAATCAACTAATATTGAAAATAGTTGCTTAAAATTTAATCTATGGGTAACATAAAATCTTTATTAAATAGGTTTAGCTCAAAATCTACAAGAGAATACACAAGAAAATCTTTAAGGAAGTGTTGATAGTGTACAATTTGTATAAGAAGCTATAATTGCAGAGAGTAACTTACCTTATTTTAGAATAATATAAGTTGAACCAATAATTGTATTTTATTCTTTTTGTATTTTCTTTAATATTATTTAAAAAGAAGTTAATTGATGGTTTTTAAATAGAAGAAAGATATATATGTGCAAAAGAAAAGCTTAGAAATAATGGTTGGATAGTAGGAGAATTAGAAGCTTGCATTATTTTCACTTAGTTATAATGTTTTAAATAAATTAAAAAATATAAAATAAGTAAAAATTATAAATATTTAGCTAACGTTATTTAAGAAGAAAAATATAACTAAAATGTAATAAACAATAAAAAAAAATACTTTACTATTTGTTTTAATTAAAAAAATAAAAAAGCTTAGAAATTTATTATAAATAAAGAAATAATTGATTATTAGTGTCTGTAAAGTTTAAGAATAATAAAATAAATAAATAAAAGGATATTAAAGACTTAAATAAAAAGAAGAATTAGAAAACAACTTTAATTTGTTAATGGAATAACTTACAGGAAAAAATTATTTATTAAATACAATATTATATTAGAACTAAAATGAACTTTTTAAATAATAATTAGTCCTTATTGAAATTTATAATGATTTATTAAAATATTTTGATGAAGCAGATGATAGTTTTCGAGATAAATATTATAAGTGTATGTTGGTAATTTTGAAAAAACCATAACTAAGTCTAAAGTATTTAGGATTTAAAAAAATATTTATTAAATAGTAAATAAATATATATTTTAAAAAATATTTAAAAATCATTAGTTTCTAGTAAAATGCTTAAAGTTTTTTATTTAATCCTTAAAATAAAATCGAAACAAATAATTTAAAAAATAAAATTAATCTCGGGCTTAAATTTTATATTATTATATACAGATTAATAAAAAAAATCATGAATAGAATAAACGAAAAAATATTCAATTAAAATGAATAAATTTTTTTAATTGAATTTTCGTCTATTATATATTTTATTATACCTACTTTTAGAACTTAATTATTGAATTATTTTTAAGATTTTAAAAACACAAATATATAAAATGAAGATTTCTAAATAAAAGAATATATTTTTGAATTTTTAAATTAAAATAACTATATTAATTATAATAAAAGAAATAAGAAAATATACATAAAACATTTTGATTGGGAAGTAAAGTTTTTTAAGTTTATTTAAAGTGATGATTTTTTTATTAAAAAATCAAATAAATTAAATGAATTAATTAAAATTTAAAAATTGGAAAACCTTATTAATAAAAATTTTTTTTACAAGTTTTTATCTTGTTTATCTAATTATGTTTATGATGTAAATATATATATTTTTTAAAAAAATAAACAATAATAAAGAATATTAGTGATAAAGAAAGCTTTACTTGGGAATTAATTCCTGGTTATAATAATTTAATTAATATATTTTTGGAATAACTTCAAAAATTAAAAGTTTAAAATTGTTCTGAATGTATTTTAAATGCAGCAAATAATTTACTATATAATTAATATTTACTAAATTCTTACATTAAAATTTTATTTTTAAAAACAAAGTAAATTTGAATTTATTATCTATTTTATTTATACTTATAAAAAAAAGTGTTTATAATAGTTAATAAATAATTTAGGTTTTAGAAATAATTAATAATTTTTTTCAGTTTTTAAAGTTCAAGAAAAAGTTTGTTCCTAATAATTTTGATATTTAGTTTTTTATAAAAGGAATTAATTTAATACTTTAGGGTGATCATGTTATGTGTATTATCAAATCTCTTCAAATTTTATATAATTTTTTTCCTTTTTTCTCATGTAAAATAATTTTTGTATATTTTTATTTTACAATATAGAAAAAAAAAAAAATATTTAAGACTAAATGTAATATTAAATTTGCTAATATATTTTAGGTAATATTTTCTTTAAGTTTTTCATGCATTGGTCTTTTAATATAAGACAAATTTTCCATCATCTACTAATTTATAGAATATAATATATATTCTAAGAAAATAAATCGTTTAAAAACTAGTTTTTTATGTAAGACTAAAATGATTGTAATTAGAATCAAAATATTAATTGTGTAAAATATTTTAATATATGTTTATATTATTTAATTCCTAGAATACAGAAATATAAAATTAATACTAATAAAATATTAGTGTTTTAAGAAAATCACTTGTATATATTTAAGATTAAGAGAAAAAAATCATAAAATAAAATTAATTTTAAATACTAAAATAAAAAATTAAAGAAAAAAAGAATATATCTATCAAAAGATAAGTTTCTAAAAATAATTCTGAAATAGAAATATAGGAAAACAAATTAAAAATTAAAAATAATGATTCACACATCGAACCTTAATAAAATAAAGATTAATAAGAATTTTTAAACTTAGATTTTAACCCTTAAAATACTTTTGCAATAATCGAATAATAAATAATTTAAGAAAATTTATAAAAGAAATAAAGTTAATAAAATGATTTTATCTATAAATCATAATCTAACATAATATTTAACTAATTAAATGATAACAAATTTAAATTTTAAAATAATATCTAAAACAAAGGAAGTATAAATGAAGATATAACTTAAAGTGTATCAATTTTTATTTAATAAAATATTAAAGAAAAAGATTAATAAGAAAATATCAATTTTGTAAATATAAATGAATTTAATATAGAATTTATTTATATTTTTTAAAAAAGAGTCCTTTATTAAGACACAAAAGTTCTTCTGAATAAAAAAAATCCTAAATTAATAAAAACATAAAAAAATTCAAGCTCAACTCTCCTGATAAAAACTAATTGGCTTTCGTTTTTGGAGAGACTTTATTATATATAGAAACTTAAGGTTTTATTAAATAAATATAATATTGAATTTATTTATTTTCATACATTTAAAGATGATAATGGGAATAATTTAAAAGAAATAGAATAATAATACATAAAATATTTACCTGAATCATTTAAAGAATACGAAAAGGTCATATAATAAAAAGAAGAGTATTTGAAGCTTAAAGTTAAATTTTAATGTCAAAAAACTAGTAATACTGGATTTTAAATTAAATAATAAGAAATCGATGTTCCTTAAGTATTAATAAAATAAATAATTGATAAATTTGAAGGAAAAATAGGACCATATTTATATTATTAATTTTGAAAGGAAAATAAATATAAATTTTTACATATATAATTAATATTTATACTTTATTTTATAAAATATTTACTTTAAATATATAATTTTTTATGCATTATAAAAGTATTAAATTAAGTTATTTATATAAAACACTATAAAAAACATTTAATATATATTTCTTAATCTTCGCTTAATTGCATTTATATATTTTTTTAAAAAAAATATAAATACAAAAAAAGGAAGAAAGAGGTAATACGAAATTTTATTAAGAAAATTACAATATATTATTTATTTTCATTAATTTAAAAATAATAAAAGAAAGAGAAAAAAATAATATTAATAAAAAAAAAAATCATTTATTTGAAAAAAGTGATTTCTTTTTAATTTTTTTCTTTACTAATTTTTAATCTTTATATTCATAATACTTATACATCATTTCTTTATTTTCTTCTAAAACTTTTTCGTAAATCTTCAAATCAAATTTGCATAAAACAAGCTATTAAATACTCTCTTATTGGTTTCTTCTATGTCCATACCATTATTTAAGTAATTATGTTGATTTTTAAACTAATTAATTCCTTCCCTTTACCCAATTAGCTTACCAAATCTTTTATTTAAGCATTAATTATGAAATGTCATGATTATAACTCCCTAATTCAGGAATATTGGCTTAGTATTAAGATCCTACTTTGGTAGCAAAATTTTAATTTCGTATATATAAATGAGGAACACTTTCTTATTAAAGTGACAACTCATTATTATTATTATTTATTTCAAACTATGATCTCTAGTTTTATTAATTGGTTGGAGATGTATATATGAGTTTATGATAGTTGTCTTCTTCTAAATGTTTTTTTTCTATTTCAATTTTCTTCTCAGGACTTCCTATTTGATGTGTTGAACTTTCACTATTTTCTATGTTTTATGTATTTTTTGAATTTTCTTCATTTCTCTTCATTCTCTTCTCTATTCGAGCACTTTTCTTCCTTTAAAAAAGTTCGCTTTTTTCCTTTTCTTCAATAAGCATTTCTTCATTTTTTCGATCATCCTTTTCAAACTCAGTTTTCTTTTCGATAAGCTTACTTTCATTATTGCTGTTTTCATTTGATTTCTAGCTCTCTTAGTTGCTTCTTTTTGATATATTTCTTATATTTTAGAACTTTTCAGAATCCTTTACTATCCCAAAACTCCTTTCTATTTAAAGTTATTACCCTTTCTTTTTCTCAGATTAACGCTCTTCAATATCTTCTTTTAACTCTTTTTAAGCAGTTTATTACTTTGTTAAAGGTTTTGTAACTTTAGAAGGGTCGAATATATAAGAGTTTTAGTCTTTAACAGGTTTTTATATTTTCTTGGTCTTAGTGATCAAGTTCTTACATGTCTCAATAGTTCTTTGTAATTTTGGAGGAGTAGAATAGTCTTTTATACTTAATTGAGGACTATCATGAGGTTTTTAATCAAAAATCGAATTTCTTAATGTTCGTTTGATTAATATTTAATATTTTTAAGACATTTTTATGTTTTTCTTTTTTTTATTTTTAATTTGTTTGTTTTTAATTAAATTTATGAATGATTATTTTATTATTTTTTTGATTTTGTTTTACTTTTTTTTATATAGACTTTTAATATTTATATTAATATATATAAATTAAATTGATTTTTTTCAAATTTTTACACATATTGACATGATTTTACTTGAATTAGACCTATATGTTCTCAATTTTTCGACGAATTTTCGATAATTTTGTAGACATATTGTTCAAATACTTATTACGATAATAAATATATATATTATAATCTAATTATCATATTTTATTAAAAAACTTCATTATTATAATATTGTTTTATTTAAGTTTTATTCTATAAATTTAGTTTGATTATAACCAACATTAAAATTCAATTCTAAACAAATACAATATTTTAATATATTAATAAAATTAATTTTTTAAAAAAAGAAAAGAAAAAATATATAATAGAAAATATTTTTATATGTAGTAATATAATATTTACTTAAAATTTTTTTAAATTTATATTTTATTAATTTTATAAAATATATCATTTATAATTATTCTTATAAAATAAGCAATGAAGTTTATAATTAAATTTTACATATTTATACTTTATAATATTCTTTTTATAAACAGAGTCAATTATGTAATATATTATTATTATATTAATTTCTTAAGAGGATTTTTATACTCTATAGATTATAATCTATTGATAGTTATTTAGGCTATTATTATTATATCAAAATATATTTACTAATATATTTTAAATAAAATAATTCATATTTTAAAAATTTAATTATCAACTATGGGAATTTTTGCTTATTTTAATTTTACTTGATTCTTTAAATATTTTAATTGAAATTTACTATATTTTATGAAGTTTATTTTAAATAAAAAAAAATCTAAATAAATAATTTTTTTTTATATAAAATTTAAATACATAATTAATTTGTTTAAATATTTCTTATATTTTTTTAAAAATATTTAATTTATAATTACAAATTTCTTTTCGAAAAATTAAAAATCAATATAATAATAATAATAATTAGAATTAGAAAAATAAAATTTAATTATTTAATTTAATATTCTAAAAGTTATTATGATTTTTAAATAATTTATTTTAATATAAAAATAATATAAAGTTCAATATTTTTTTAAACATTTTTTTTAATATTTTAAATTTATTTTAGATATAAATTCGAAAACATAAAATATTAAAAATACTATTAATATTAATTTTTTAATTATTATATTAATTGCATTTTCAATTATAAATATTTATCAATTTTATTATTCTATTTATTAATCAATTTTATCTTTTTCTTAAATAAAAATAAATAATTTTATATTAAATTAATATAAAAATAATATTACCAATTTATTTTTATTTATGTATTTCCTATATATTTTCATTTTATTATTTTTGATTATTCTTTTAATTTTAAATAGTTTAATCATATCCATTTACAAAATTTTAACTATCTGTTTTAATTATAGTACCTGGTTATTATTCTTTATAATTTAAGTCATTATTTTATAAATGAGAAGTATTATATTACTATTAACAATTGAGATTATCAGAATTTTATGAATTATTTTTTACATTAAATTAATTGTTCAATTACATTATTTATTAATTTGCATTTTCTAAATTTACTTTAAGTTTTTCATTTTCTAATTAAAATATATTCAATTATTTTTATGTTGTTTCTATCTATTCTAAACTTGATTTTATAAGAGTGAAAAATTCCTTGTTTTATTTATTTCTTTATAATTCATTATTTAATGCTTAGTTAAGATTTTGAACTTCATAATTACTTTATTATAAATTTTATTAATGATTATTTATCTATAAATTAATTTCATTTATTATTGAACTGAACTTTCGAATATTAGTCTCATTAATTTCTTATTTATTTGTAAATACATTTTCTATGTTTATACAATTATTACTAATGTTTACTGATTAAGTTTTTTTATATTTTATTTAAGAAATTTCCTTTTATAATTAATTATATATAATATATAAAAATCTAAAATTTACTTAGTATTTTTTCTAAATATCATTTTCTTTTAAATAATAATTCAAAATTAAGTTATTTTAGTTTTCTAATTCTCTTTAAAGTTCATTTAGATTCATATCTTTATACAATATTTCTTTATTTTTATCAAACAAAAGTTGTAACTCTTTACTCTAATCTTTTTGTAAATTATATAAATTATTAATTTCTTATTTATAATTTTCTATAGTATTTATTTTGTCTTTATGAAGTATTTTTATTTATTGTTTAAGTTAATTAATTTCTTTCTAAAATTAATTTTAATTAGAATTATTTTCCTAATTGCTTACTTGAAGTAAATATTAATTTTGATCATTAAAATTAATATTTTGGTATTTAGAAATATAAACATTAAGTTCATTTTATATTTAAGAAATTTGTTCATTCTAAGTTTTAATAATTAATTATAACTCTGCTTTTTCAATTTAACATCTTACTAATTCTTATTGAAGATTTTCAATTTACTTATTTAAAACATTTAATTCTTTATTAATATTATTTTCTTATTGAATATTAGAAATATCTTAATTTTATATATTTTTTTAATCATTTAATTTTATTTTTTCTAAATTATATTCCTTTTTTTATTAAAAATTATATAAATATATTTTTATTTTACATTTATAATTGACAAATTTTGAAATGTAATATCTTAAATTTTTTAATTTAATTAATCAACCAAATTTTTCAATTAATAAACTTGAAAATTATTTTACTCTTTTTTCAAAACTACATTTGCACTTTCTTTAATAACTTCTTTATAAATTTTTTCAAAAGTATTAACTTATTATACTTTTTCAACAACAATAGGCTTTTATTCAATAAAAAAGTTAATTGTAGATTAAAACTTATTTGTTATTTCTTGAATACTTATTATTAATGATTTTAAAATTTTCTTTTTGTTTTCGTTATCCTTCAAAAATGATTATTTAATTAAAATATGCTAGTTTTCAATGCTTTCTTCTTAATCTTAAATAACTCTTTGTAAATGTTCTATTTTTAATTCTTATTTACATATTGTTTCTTTTAATTAATGTATTTTTTTATTATTTTCGCTTTGTAAAGTACTTCTTAGCCTTTCAACTGCTTCAAAATGTTCTTATTCTAATTCTTCTATTTTTCTTAGTAATTATGATTATTCATTTTTTGATATAGCTTATGTTATGTCCATAGAAATAAATTATTTCAAAATTTTCTTATTTCAAATAAAAAAAGTTATAATTTTTTTAACATTTAAATAACTAAAATGTTTTAAATAATATAATTTATTTTGTTTAAAAAAAAAATTATTTATTTTGATATTAATTTTTATATTTTATATAAAAAACTGATAATAAAAATAATATTTAAATATAAATTATATTTCTTCTTAAATAAATTATAAATATATATATAAAGGTATATATAATAATATTATATCCTTAATCTATATTTGAATAATATATGTTTTCTTTTAATTTTTTTTTTTTAATAAATACGAATATAATTTTATCGAAGGTATCAATAATTTTTTCAAATGCATTATTGAGGAATATTAAAAGCAAACTTTTTAATCAAAATTTAACATTTTTTGTTTTAATTACAATTATTTTCATTCGGATTTCCGTATATTTAATTAAAATTGTAATCTTAAGAATGTATTTTTTTTCTATTATTAATCATATTGCTAGTTTTTGATTTCAAAAACAATTAATAACTATTACATCTTATATTATGTCGTATTTATTATTCTTATTGATTTTCTTTTTCTTAATATTTTTAAAAAAAATATTCTGTTTAAGAATTTTTATTTTAATTTTTTCTCTAATAATCTTATAAATATTACTTATTAGTATTATTATTTAATGTAGATACATTTGATATTGTACTATTATAATTTATATAATTCTGCATAAAAAAAAAAAATTCTTTTTTCTTTTGAGGGTTATTTTATAAATGAGTAAATTTAAGTTATTCTTGATCTACACTTGGCTTTCTGTAAAGAGTTTTTGGTTAATTTTAAATTTTAGTTTTTGCAGTTTATAAAGAATTTTAATACAAAGGAATTTCAGGTTGAATTAAATTTTAACTTTTTATTATTCTTTTAGGGGAGCTTATTCGAAAACTCGTTTATGTTTAATTTATTTGCTAAGGTTTTATTTTTAAATTGTTTTTATATGTGAACTTTTGTGGCAAACAAAACTAATATGGAAATTCTTCGTCGTCTTCAGTTTACGAAGGATAATCCATCCTAATATATTTATAGAAAATAATATTTTTTAATAATTTTATAGTATTATTATTGTAATATATTTTATTTTTATCCTATATTTTTCTTAAATATTAAATGGTTATAGTTTGATAATTTGTAATTTTATTTGAATAATAAATATATTTAAAATAAAAAATTAAATTTAATTAACAATATATAATTTTAAATATTATTAAATTAATTTTTTATATATATTTTACATTAAAAATTTAAAAATTTATATGTTATTTATAAAACTTTTAAAGAGATTTAATTAATTTGTAAATTTTGTCACTAGTAAAATTGTTAATATATTCATTTATGAAATCTATATAAATATGTTTTTAATATATGTTATTATTTAAAAAAAAAAAATTCTGCAAAAAGTTATATTAAAAAAATTATCCTAAAGTACTTTAAGGTAAATGATCTTTGAAATTTTTAGTATTATGTTTTGAATCTTGATGACCTATTAATAGAAAAATAATTTTTCTTCTCTTTTCTAGTAATTATTTCTCAAGATTAATTGAAAAAGATTATTATAGTAAGTTAATTGATATAATTTTCTTCGATTTTATTTTTATGTTATTCTTTAATATTTTAATAAATTTTATAATCTATAATAACTGCACTAAAATTTTATCTCTTTTTAATTTTTTTATAAATTAATTATTTAAAAAACAAATTCAATATTATATTATAAAAAATTATTATTTTATTAAAAATTTAAATTAAACTAAATTCAAGTTTATATAAATGTTTTTTAAAAATATGTATTATAAAATTATTTTTAAATAAAAACATGAAATAGTAATTTCATTATTTAATTTTTTTCGTGTCTATTTTTAAAATTTATTTACTTAAATCTCTGGAATAATTATTAAAGTAAATATATAAAAATATAATTTTTTTTATAAAAATATATAATTTATAAATTAATATATGGCTTTTAATTATTTAATTTTTATATAAATAATGAAATTAAAATACATATTTTTTTAATGAAAAAAATTTAAATAATTAATTAATATTTTTTTTTATTATTAGCGGGTTAATAATTTGATATCAAAAAAAAAAATTCTTAAAAAAGTAATAAGAAATATAAATTAACATTTAAAATAATTTATAAAATTTAAAAAAAATGAATTGCACTTATTTTGATTTATTAGAAAAAAAGAAAAAAAATGATTAATTAAATAAACTAATTGATTAAAACAATAATTTTTTTGATTAATTTGCCAAAGAGTTAAGTGAAATTTCATAATAATAGGTATTAAAGGACTCATAATACAAATTTAAAGCTAAGATAGATTAAGATGTAAGTTAAATAAATTATTCTAAGCACTTTGAAAGTCCAAACGCAATACATTAAAATCCAAAAGTGGTATCTCAAAATTCTTTTATTTAACCAAAGCCACTAATTCAACCACCAAAAGAACCAACATTTCTTTAGAAACTAAAATCCTTATAAACTAATACACAAGAATAAAATAATTAAAAATAAAGTATCTAGTAAAAAATAAATACTCCTTTTTAAATCCCAAAGAATATATAAAATCCTATAGGAAATCATATGTAAAATACTTAAAAAAATTATATATAAAACCCTAAAAAAAACCACATATAAAATCCAGAAATAAAAAATTCTTAAAATTTAGAAATAAAAACTTAATAAAATGTAAACTTATTTCAATAACATCCAATATTTTAACAAAATGGATAAAATAAAAATACATTAAAAAACATTACAGAACCAGAAATTCAAGAAAGCAATCCCAACGAAGTTCCAGACTAAAACATTCCAAAATCAAATCAATTTTATAAAGTAGAGGACATAAAAAAATATATAAAACCACATAAATGGGATGTATAAATGTACGAAATTTTAAGAAAAAAATATGGTTATTAGTAATTTAGAAATAATTAAAAAGCCATAATAAACTGTGTTTTGGAAGACAAAAATGTATTCGCAATGATGCCCACTGGAGGTGGAAAATCTTTAACTTTTTAAATTCCAGCACTTATATAAGACGGAATATATGTAGTGGTAATGCCTTTGATTTCTTTAATTTATGACTAACTTTCGGGCATGAAAAAATTAGGAATATATGCTATTAAAGTTTAGGGAGAAAGGAAAATTTATGAAAATGATTTAAGGAAAATTTTAGAATAAGATTCAGATTATCCTAAAATACTTTTAGTTACTCCAGAAAAAATAATGCAAGATAATAATTTTAATAGCTTTCTCATTAAATGCAATAATATCGGAAAACTTAAAAGATTTGTAGTTGATGAAGCCCATTGTGTTTCGCATTGGGGGCATGATTTTAGAAAAGATTATTGTTAATTGGGAAATCTTAAGTAATAATTTCCTAATGTACCAGTATTGGCTTTGACTGCTACTGCAACTGAAAAGTGTAAAATTGATATTATTAAATAAATGAAAATTAAAGGAGCGTCGTATTTTTAGTGTTCATTTAATAGACCAAATTTATATTATGATGTTATTTAAGTACCTAATAACTAAGTTATTTAACATATGGTCACTTTTATTAAAGGTAAATATTTATTAAATTTATATAATTTTATTTTATTTAAAAGAAAAGTTTAATAGATAAAGTGGAATAATATATTGTTGTACTAAAAAAGATACTCGATCGCTTTCTGAAGAATTAACTAAAAAACATGGAATCAATTCATGCTATTATAATAGTAAACTTAGTGATTCTGAGAAAGATAAAGTTCAAAATTTATGGATGTAAAACGACATTTAAATTATTTGTGCTACAATTGCTTTTGGGATGGGTATAGATAAACCTGATGTTAGATTTGTAATTCATTATTCGTTTTCTAAATCTTTAGAGGGTTATTATTAAGAAGCTGGAAGAGCAGGAAGAGATGGAAAAATATCTCATTGCAGAATTTATTATAGTCCCTCAGATAAATCTTCTTTAAGTTTTTTAATTAATAAAGGTACAGGATCTGAAAAGCTTAAAGCATAATAATATACATAACTATAAAAAATGATTAGGTAAAATTTTTAATTTTTTTTGTTATACTTAAAAATACAAAAAAAGTTATTGTGAAAATAAAGAATAATGCAGAAGGTAAATATAATTAGCATATTTAGGAGAAATTTTCGATGAAAAACATTGCAATAAAATGTGTGATAATTGTGTAAGCAGGTCAAACCCTTAAAATAATGAAAATATATAGCTTTTAGACTTAACTAATGTTTGTAAATAGTTTATGGAACAATATGCTGATTTTTAAGAATAAGGTGTAAATTTGACTTAAAGATAGTTTATGGAATGCTTAAGAGGTACAAAAATAAGTACTAAATTTAAAAGATATACAAATATGTTAGAAAATAGTTCTATTTACGGTATTATGAAAAGCTATAATTAAGGTGAAACCGAATAGACAATAAAATAATTAATTAATTAAGAGTTTTTGTAAGAAAAACCTATAAAAAAGGGTAATTTTATGTTTATGTAGTTGATTGTAAATAAAAGTAAACTCAAGCAACTTTTGAATGATAAATAAACAATTATTTAAATAAAAGGAGAAAAGAAAAAAGTTAATATGAAGAAAACTTTTGATAATCTTTTTTAAGAATATGATGACATTGCTGAAGAAAATTTAGATTATAGTAAATAAATCTAAGAAGAAAACGAAGTTTTTGATCAAAATAAAAATCTCATTTATTAAGGTCAAAAAGCAGAATCTGAATCAGACGATTAGGATATTGATGATCTTATTGCTTTTGCAAATAAATATAATAATACTAAACAAGAAAATATTAAAGATGATATCAATGAATTCGATAATTTTCCGAATGTATTTTCAGATTAAAAAGATTTTATCCCTAAAACAAATAACTTAGAGAATCTCAATAATAAATAAAAAATTTCAGGTGTTATATAAAAAAAAAATATAGATGATTATTTTGAAAAATTTAGGCTACGTAAATCTGATATTTGATATTTTTTTTATGTTTCATTTATGTTTATTTGATTTTGTTTGTTTGTTTTAATAATAAAAAGTTATTAAGTCTAAAAAATCAAAATTTATTATTTTTTTTTAGTAAAGAATAATAAGTTAAAAAAAAAGTTAGCGAAATAAAAATTATTTTAATATAAAAACACTATAAAAAATTATAGATATATTATAAATTAAAAAAATGATAAATTATATTAACTAAAGAAAATAAAAACTTAAATAATAGTATTAAATATAAATTCGTTCTAAAAAAATAAATCAAAAAATAAACTTATATCGTCTATAAAGCCTAAATTATTCATTAAAACAAGAAATTTTCATTAATAAGAATTTTAATAATTTTATCCAAACAAACCAAAATATTTCAAAGAATAATTATAATAAACTTAAAACTTATAAAGATAATATTCATAATATAATTAATATTTGTTTGTAAGAAAATATTTCTCATTTGTATTTTGTTAATGCTTGTTTCAAACTTTCTATTTATTTAGAAGAAATAGGTAAAAAAAAAAAATTTAATATATTTTAAAAAATAAATTAAAATAAAGATAATACATTTGAAATAATCGAAAAAATATTAAAAAATGAAATTTTTATTTAAAAGCTACTTTTGGAATTAAAGATTGAAACTGAACAGGAAAAAGTAAGTATTTTTTTGAGATTTTTAGGAAATTTAGTTCGCGGGAATAATATATAATGCACTTTTTTGGAAAAGTATTCATTTTTGGAACTTACAGAAAGCTTCTTTAACCAAAATATGGGAAACTTATCTATCATTTAATATTCAATATTTATTATAGGTAATTTTATTGCTGTAGAGGATAGGTTTTTGAATTATTTTGTATGTTTTAGTAAAAAAAATGACGGTTTTTTACATAAAGTATTTTTTTTATTAAATTATATTCCTTTAAATTAATAAAATGGACCTATCTTTGAAAAAATAATTTGGGTTTTAGATCTTATAATGAATAGTTTAGCTAAAAAAGTATAAAAAAAAACATATTTTATAGAACTTTTAATATAAAATATATAATAAATTTACAAAATTTTTCTGTTTTTTGAAAATTATAATTTAAGAATTAACTTAACCTATGTTTTATGTCAAATATTAAAAAAAAAAGAATTAAAATTCCAAAAAAACAGTCCTTTTTTTGAACTACTTATATCTATATTATAATAAAATAATCCTTATATGCGCCTTCCTATTTATAAAATAATTTTAAAATGCTTGGAAGGTTAAAATAAAGATTTAAAATATTCAATATGTAATCTATTGGGTGACACATTGATCAATTTCGCATTAAAAAACGATATTTTTAACAATAATTCAGCAATAGTGAAGGAAAAAGCTTTTTCTATCATTTTGTGTTTCATCGAATGCGAGTATTTTGTTTTTAAATAATAGATTATTTTTGAAATTATTCCCCATTTTTTAAATTAGGGTTGCTTTTAAAGAGAAAATTAACTTGTAAAGGAAACTTTTTGGAAAATTTTATGGAGTGTATTTTAATTAAATTAGGGGTTTGGATGTGTTTTTATTTTTTAAAATCAAAAATGGGATTTTTTTAAAAATATCAAAGACGATTTAGAGAATTTTTATTTTGGAAAAAATGAAATATTTGAAATTTTATTGAAAATAATTAATTTTATATTGGATTTTTCTGAAAATCAACACGAAATTATAAGGAAAATTACAGATAATTAAATTTTGTAAATAATAGATGGAATAAATGAACAAATTAAAGAAAATAAAGAATTTTAAGATAATTCTTTGATTTTTTATACAAATTTAATTTTAGATAAAGCATTTAATTTTTAAATAAATAATTTATTATATACATGAAATAAAAAATATTGTAAGAATTTAACTTTATTTATAATATAATTAAAATGTATTAAAAAGTATTATTATTTTTATTCGATTTATAAGAAAATAATATGTACAATAATATTTCTTTATATATTTATATTATTAATTGAATAAAAAAAAGATTTTTTATAAATTTGGAGAAAAAAAAGTTAATTATGATAATTTTTTATTTATTATTGCCATTAACTTTATTTTCTTTACCTTGCGAGAAAAATATAAAAGGAAGCTAATATAATTGGTGTAATTTAGTCAAAAACGATTCACCTTGGATTATTGCCGAATCGCATTCTGATTCTGGATTATTTACTAGTGTCTATGTGTTCAATTTTGCAGATTAGGGTTAGAATATAATTTGCGATAATACTAATAATGTTATTTATGAAACTTTATCAATTAATGGAGATGTTATAAAAGATTAATGTGATATTTTGGCTAAAATGGATACTTAATTGATACTTCCAATTAAAAATGGAATTCAAATTATTTATAAAAATGGTAGAATATGTAGACAAAGTTAAAATCAATCAGACGTAGGATTCAGAAAATAAATTATTTTCGAAATTATTTGTTCTAAAACAGATAATTATGAGTGGATTATTTAAAAATATGACTCTTTTCAAGTTACTTAATGTAAAAGAAAACTAGTTATTCATAATAAGGCAGGATGTCCTGTTAATTAAGATAATTTCAAATATATTTAATTTATTTTTTATTTAGCTTTTTTAGTTTTTCTTTTTTATTATTTAAAGTTTTTAAGGAAAAATTGATTATTTTTGTAATATAATCAATTCATATTTATTTTAATTTTATTTAATTAATTTATGTTTATTTGAATTATTTTTAAATTCTATTCAAAAAGATAATTTCATTTTCTAACATTAATACATCTAAATATATTAAAATTTTTTATAATTTAAAATATCAATAATTTATAAATTTTTAATAAAATTATATAAAGGATTATAATTTAAAACTATTAACTCTAAATATTTAAAAAATATTTGTAATTTTAAAAAATTTATTATAGTTATTAAGAATATAATTAAAATATAATAAAAAATTATAATAAATATTATTAAGAAAACATATTATAATAAAAAATTATTAAATTAAATGAAATAATTTTATTAAATTAAAAATATAAAAAATATATAAAGATATTTTTTTATTTATATTTAATATATATATATTAAATAAAGTAAAAATGAATAAATAAAAAAAATCTTTCAGGTTATTTTAAAAATATAAATAATGTATAAAATTTATATTTTAAAATTATATAATATAAGTAAAAAATTTTATAAAAATAATTATAAATTAATTATTTAATATTTTCATTAAAAAAAAGAAAAAAATAATGTAAATAAAAATAAAATCATAACATTAGCATAATAATAATAATAATATATAAATATAAATATAAATATATATATATATATAAACATATTTATATATATTTAATATATAAATATAATTTAAAAAACATTTTTAATAATTTAATGTTAATTTCTATATTACATATTTATCAATAATTTGTTTTTGAGTATAAAATAAATTTTTAAAATTAATATTTAAATCCAAACTTCTTTTTTTAATTATCTTTTATAATTTACATCATAGTTTTATACTTTTTTTATTAAAATAAATTTAATTTTATCTCATTGTTATTTATTGCTAATTTTTTTTTTGTAATTATGAATTCATTAAATTTACTGCTTCATTCATAAGATTATAAGTTATAGTATTTCCATAAGATAAAATTTTTTTTAAGCATAATTATAAAAACCATTTATAAAAACATAATAATTTTGATAATATAAAACTATATAATATATATATTAAATATAATTTTTATATAAATAAAATTTTATGTATTTATATTTTTTTAATATATTACATATGTCAAATTTTATTTAATTATATATAATTTTTTATATTATATTAAATTACATATTATATTATTTTATATTATATTATATTTTTATATATTAAAAAATATTTTTATATATATTTTATAAAGATATATATAAAGTTATTATGTATAAAAATATTATATTTATGTTTTATAAAATATAAATTTAATTTCAAATAAAAAAAATTAAAAATAAAATATATTTACATTTAAATAATTTACAAATTCAAAAAAAAAGATATTTCAAATTTATTAATTTTCTATAAAATATTAAATATTGCATATTTTATGTTAGTAAT